TGTCTGCCTTTTTTTGTTGTTGTTGTCAGTGTTTCGCTTCTAGCGTTCCTAAATTTTTTTTTCGGTAATTCTGCGATGGTTTTAGACAGCCATTTTTGACTCAAACGTCTACGGTGGAAAAATTGCCGCCATACAATAAACCATCTGTTGACAGAGTGGAAGGCTGTTTTTGTGTGCGCAGCCACTCTCAATTACACCACCAATAACGATAACAAAAGAAGTTCAGTTTAAGGTTTTTAATTTTTCGTTTCACTCTCAACTTATTATTCCAATGCTGAATGTGGTAATTTTGATGACCGGGATGTTGATACGGTTGCGATGGTCGTGGAAATAATGGTAACGATTGAATAGGTGAACACAGATATCAGTTTGCACGACAATAAAGGCAAACGATAATTAAAGCTTCAGTTTTCATTTTAAAATAAAAAGTGTATACGTATATATACGCATATCTGTACGTTTGAAGAAGAAGAGCATCTGTTGGGCGCAAAGATGGAATGCGTGCTCGCCGAAGTGCCATCTGCTCAAATCGATAGGACGATGTGATGTTTTCCTGAGAGTAAAAAATAAAAATAAAATGGAAATAGGATAAAAGAACGAACCTTATTCCCTCAGCAAACGGACTCCGTAATCACCATAGACGTCTGATGTTGTCGTTTGTTGTTGAGCATCTGCTTTATAAAAATCCGTATTTGTGCACCGATGAAAAAAAATGTGGGTTTTTGGCGTGACCACATACTGTGCACACAGAATCATTAAAACAATCTCCTTTTTCTTGTCTATTCCTTCAACTCGTCACTTTTCTTTTCTTTCTTCTTTTATCCACTTGCATTATTCGCCTTGTCCTCCTCAATTTTCCAATTGTTTATTGGGCTTTCTGAATGTATCGGTTTTCGATGATACCTTAACAACTTTAGATTGCATCAGTCGTTTGATTCAATTTATTCTTCACGTCGTCCTTAAAGATTTTATTTTATTCAGTTGTAGTTGTGGGGTATCATTTCGATGTCACTGTTATGTTTTGCGTCTGTAAATTGTTGGTAGTAATTCCACATTTGTACTTGCTTTTATGTGTCCAAGTCGCTCCTAAGTTTGTTTTTTATTGCAAACGTGCAATACAAATTCAGCGTTATCAGTTGTATTGATCACTTTTCAAATTTTATGTCAGTTTTATGAAACATAAGTGGCT